GAGAGGTCGGGGAGAGTCGGGGGGGGGAAGAGCGGGGGAAGTCGGGGAAGAGAGAGAAAGTTAACAACAGTTGTGTTTTTCATCACCACTTCAGGACACCCTTCACCACTTGAGGATGCAGCCTGCCTAAACAGGTGGTTTTCAGGGTCTTCGGACCTTTCACCACTTTTTCCTGAATGGTCCTGAAGTGGTGAAAGCTCTGAAGACCCTGAAAACCACCTGTTTAGGCAGGCTGCATCCTCAAGTGGTGAAGGGTGGCTCACCATCTCCGCACATGCCATTTGCACGTGCGTCACATTGGTATCGGAGCAGGTTTTCAAACCTTTGCTCCCTCCCTCCCTCCCCCTCTAGCTATCCTACCACCGCGGATAATCATCTCCAAGTTCGTTCTTGCAGCTGCACCTGGCCCGTCAACTGTTCGTCATCCAAGCTGACGCCTTTCTCGACGCCGGCGCTACTCCAGCCCCTGTTGCTTTCCTACAGACCGCCGTCGCCGACCTCCTGCTGCTTGCGCTCCGGCTCGACCTTCGCCTGTCGCTCCTATCGACTGAACTGTCTGGCGAAGTGCTGGGATTGTGGCCATCTTGGCGGCTTGCTGCTGGCGGCCCTGTGAGAAGTTCATTGAACCTTATCATCTAGAGGAAGGAGAAGCGGTAACAAGGTTTCCGTAGGCGAACCCGCCACGTCGGCACACCCTTCCTCTTCCTCCCTACTACCGACCCTTCCTCTTCCTCCCTACCCACTTCGTGGCGCGCACGTGCACGCGAATTCTCCTCCGCTTCCTGCCCGATCCCACCACACCACCGCGCGATCCCAATCCCTCCACCCGCATCTTCCTATCCCCCCGCCCGATTTCCCCCCCCCAGACTCTTCCCGACTTTCCCCTCTGACTCTTCCCACAAGCGGTTATCGAGTAGCTGAAAATTCAAGAATGAAAATTCTGAAGTGAGAGTTTTGGGCAGTCTGAAAATCCTGAATGGTCCTGAAGTGGTGAAAGGTCCGAAGACCCTGAAAACCACTTGTTTAGGCAGGCTGCATCCTGAAGTGGTGAAGGGTGTCCTAAAGTGGTTAAGTGAAAGTTTTGGGCATTCTGAAAATCCTGAATGGTCCTGAAGTGGTGAAAGGTCCGAAGAGCATGAAAACCACCCTTCACCACTTGAGGATGCAGCCTGCCTAAACAGGTGTTTTTTAGGGTCTTCAGAGCTTTCACCACTTCAGGACCGTTCAGGATTTTCAGACCTGAATGCTCCTGAAGTGGTGAAAGGTCCGAAGACCTTGAAAACCACCTGTTTAGGCAGGCTGCATCCTCAAGTGGTGTTGAAAAATACGACTGTTGTTAACCTTCTCTCATGGAGAGAGAGAGAGAGAGAGAGAGAGAGAGAGAGAGAGAGAGAGAGAGAGAGGAGATGGACACACACAAGAAGCAACAGTTCAGTGAAGGTCCAGTCCGGTTCAATGAAAGAGCGAACAACTGAATGAACCAACTGACCCTGGGACCTGGGCCTAGGCCGAAGTGATATATCGGCTTAGGTCCAGGTACGGGAACAACGTGGTGCCGGACGAGGGTCAGGCCGACGGCCTGAAACTGGTCCGGTCTCACTGCCGGTGTAGGGGTACCGCTACACATAATTTTTCATAAAGCAAAACCTGTTATTCGAAGTCCTTTTTTTCTTTGACTAGGAAACAAACAAAGAAACAAACAAGCAAATTAAAAAGAAAACAAACTAATATGAGCGAACCTTCTCCCGTCTCTCTGTCCTTGCCTCTCTTCGCCGCCTCCATCTCTCTCTCGCTGTCTCTCTGTACCTCTCTTAAAGATATCGAATGTAGAATGCTCTCTCTCTCTCTCTCTCTGTTGCATACTATAACGTGCAGACTAGAACAAGAACCGACCTTTCGATACAAAGTACAAGATAACACAGCGGAAGACTTAGATACCAGTGATCCGACCAGTCAATGTTGCAATGCAGCCCGGAACATACTTCATCATCATCGTTACATGGTGTGAATGGGGTCTGGCGCTTCACACAAGAAGACTGCGCCAGCCCATACCATACACAGACGAAGAGGAAGGATATAGACGAAGAGGAGGGGGAAGATGGGAATGTCGTCAACACCAAGTCTTCGGCACAAGCCCAAATAGTCCCTCGTCGAAATGTCTGAATCCCAAATGTCCAGTCTGGGTCCAATGTCGTCAAGTCTCAAGTCACAACTCAGCCGCTCTCTGTCGTAGTCTGAGAAGTCAGGTGGTGAGAGGGTGAGAAGAGATGGTGGACTTATAGGAGGAAGAAGAAGAACTCTCTCTCTCTCTGTATCCAGTACTAACCTGTGAAGTTGGTGCCTTGATGCAAGTACCTCGCAGATGGAGCTGGAGCGATGGCGCCACAGGTAAGTACCACTGGCCTCCGCCAGTGTCTCTCCCAACTCTACTATCTACCACCTACCATAGCGCCCAGCGCTATGGCATCTACTCTATGGCTATGGCGCCCAGCGCCAAAGACTACAACTAGCGCTACTACTACTTAGCGTTGAAGACTACTGCAGCGCTCCTCCTGAGTGCTGCGGCCGAATCCTGAAAACTACCAGTCCCTACTGAAACTACCTACCCGTGAAGAGCCTGGGAAGCTCCTATGTACAACCACGGGTCTGCCTCCTGACTGCAGGCGAGCAGTCCAGGAGGCGCCAATGCCGATCGGAGTCAGGGGCTGCCGCTGCAGCTCTTGCTCGAGCTCGTGAGGAACAGGCTATTTCTGGCCTGTTCCGCATCCCTATTTACGTGCCTGAGTCTTAGGGGCAGGTGGAAACAACGAGGGCCTGAAAATGGCCCTCCGTTTCAGGTTGGAAAACCTCTGGGTCTGAAAGACCTAGAAATAGGCTGAAACAGAGTAGGGCCTGCAGGCCCTCGTTTTTCAGCTTTCAGGCTGAAACGAACGGGGCCTGTAAGCCCTAAGTTTTAGGCTTTTAGGCTGAATGTCCGGGACGGGCCCTGCAGGGCCAGTGTGGCTACGCAGTATGCCACACCCCCCCCCTCCTTGAAGAACCGAGCTTACCTGCGAGGGCAAAGTTGTCTGTCTGAGGGAGGGACCACAGTCCGGGTGGGAGGGGCTGGTCGTGAAGCGTCCTGAGCTAACCTGCGCCTTTCATAATGCGCGTAGATCAGAGGTGCGGATGCTTTCAAATCTGCGCCTGATATCCACCGAGTGTCGTCGCGATCGCATGCTTTGAATGTGACTTTGTACTGTCGCGGCTTGCTGCCGTACTTGCGATCGGTGATGACGAGGTCAACTTCCTGATGACCATCCATAGAAGGAGGGTCCTGCGATCGTCGGTCAGGAAAGTCGTCGCTCTTGGCTGGCGTGTATGTTGCCAGCTTCGAGGCGTGGAAGACCGGATGGACCATCAGATGCTCTGGAATGTTGATCACAAATGAAGGGCCCTCGGGCTCATCGCCCGCGGCAGCTGTCACAGACCAAGGTCCAAACCACTTGGGAAGCAGTTTGCGTGAAACATCCTGTTCCAGTGCAAACTCTTCCGCGGAGACCCAAACCAGATCACCGGCGCGGATGGGACATGGTAGGCGACGCCTGTTGGCTTGCTGCTGCATGCGGACTTGAGCCTTTTGCATATTTGCGCGGGCTTGAGTCAGCAATTCCCTGTACTTTCGGACGGAAGCGGGAGAGCAGGTAGCGTCAATGTCGGCTGGTCGAGGGAGGAGAAGGACGGCGAAGATCCGGCCTTTCCGTCCACCGTGGTGCAACTCGAATGGAGTCACGCCGATTGCCGGATGCACCGAAGTGTTGTAGGCAAACTCGATGTCGAGGAGGCGGTCAACCCAATCTTTCTGGTCCGGACGAATGAGCGTACGAAGCATCATTTGAGCGGTTTGATGTGCCCGCTCCGTCTGCCCGTCTGTCTGCGGATGCCGAGCCGAACTTGGTTTCATCGTCGTGTCGGACTCCTGCATGAGCGCAGTCCAAAATGCTGACATGAAACGAGTGTCGCGGTCGCTGACAATGTCTTCTGGTACACCGTGGCCACAAATCCAACCAGTGTGCAGGAGGCGTGCCAGCTCGGGAGCCGTGGAGTAGTACTTGCAAGGGAGAAACCGCGCGTACTAACTCAATCGGTCCACAACCGTGAGGATGCCGTCGTGCCCGAGCCGGTCGCGAGGAAATGGACCGGTGACGTCCGTAGCAATGGAGAGACCGGGCTCCCGTGGAATAGGCATCGGGTGTAACTCGCTGTAGGGATTGCGATTGCGGGGCTTGCTTCGTCGGCAAACTTCGCAAGAGTCGCAATACCGAGTGACATCGGTAATGAGGTCAGGCCATCGGAATCGCTGTCGAAGCCGTGCAATAGTGCGGTTGACTCCGAAATGGCCGACGAGTCGTGAATCATGATACTCGCCGAGGAGGCGAGTCCGAAGACGGCGGTCGCGTGGGACACATAGTAAGTCCTTGCCTCTCGAGTGGAGGAGCAAGTACCCGTCGACAATGCGATAGTGGCTGCGGGTGATCCGAAGATAGCTGTGCATACAACGTGGCGAAGTCCGGATCAGACTCATATGCCCGGATGAAGTGTCGCTGAAGATCCTCGTCGAATGCGAAGGCATGATGTGTCATAGCGCAAAGGTCGGGTCTTCGCGAGAGTGCATCTGCTGCGCGATTTGAGAGGCCGGGAAGATGTTTCGGTGTGAAGTCAAACTGGTCGATGAAGTACATCCATCGTCCGATCGTGCTSCTCACCGTATCCTGCGTCTTGTAGTAGGTCAATGGATTRTTGTCYGTAACCCAWGTGAACCTWCGACGCCCAAGAAGGAAGTGCCGCCATCGCTTGAGAGCCATGACGAACGCGAGTAGCTCCTTCTTCCTTGCATCATCAAGCGAGTTGATGGGAGGCACWTTGTGGCTGAAATACTCCACAGGGTGCCAGTCGTCGCCGTCGTGCTGTTCCAAGACTGCCCCAATGCCATAGCCGGAAGCGTCCGTAGTCACTCTCGTCGGCAAGGTGGGGTCATAGATGCTAAGGACGGGTGCCATGAGCATAGCCGTCTTAAGTGCTTGGAATGACCGGCGTGCGTCGTCATCGAATACGAATGGCACCTTTGGCGACTGTAACCTCGTCATAGGTGCAGCAATCCTGGAGTATTCGGTGATGAATCGCTGATAGTAGCCCACCAATCCCATGAATGAACGAACGTCCGTGGTGTTGGTGGGCTCCGGCCATACTCGTAGGGCCTCGATCTTGTCCGCGAGCGGACGGATGCCTTGCGGCGTCACATAATGGCCCAAGTACTCCAGCTCCTGCCGCGCGAATTCGCACTTGTTGCGGTTGGCTTTGTACTTGGCTTGTCGTAGCCACTCCAAAACGGTGCGCAGGTGTTCCACATGCTCCTCCAAACTCCGGCTGTAGACAAGAATGTCGTCGAGGTAGATAAGTACGAAACGATCTAGCATGTGTGGGAACTCCGTTGTCATAGCCGCTTGGAAAGTGGCTGGGGCATTCGTAAGGCCAAACGGCATGACCAGCCATTCGAAATGCCCATACCGTGTCTTGAACGCGGTCTTGTAGCGATCCTCCTTGCAAATCTCGAGTTGGTGATATCCCGACTTGAGGTCCAGCTTGGAGAAGAACTTGGCGCCGCCCAGCCACTCGAGAAGATCGTCGATGCGTGGGAGAGGGCCGGCGTTTCTGATCGTCTGCGCGTTGAGCTTGCGATAATCGATGCACAACCGCAAATCCTTGTTCTTCTTCCGGACGAAGAGAACAGGAGCACCGTATGGCGATGAGCTAGGCCGAATCCAGCCTTTCTCCAGAAGTTCGTCGAGTTGTGCCCGAAGCACACTTTAACTCTTCCTCGCTCATTCGGTAGATGCAACCGCGCGGAGGTACGGCCCCGTCCTCGAGGATGATCTCGTGGCGGATGGGTCGATCCGGTACTACTCCGTGCGGGCCTTCGAACACGTCGCTGTAGGCGTCGAGAAGCTCGGTGATGCGTGGATCCGAAGGTGAGTTCGTCGATGAAGCGTCATGGGGCGGGAGGGCGTGGAGAAAACACCCCCCCATCTCCTCGATGTCGTCTCTGATGATGGAAGCTCGCATGCTTGCGGCGGATACCACGTGGCAGTTGATCGAAGGATGAGGAAGAGGCACCGTGCATGGAACTAATACTCCGTTCCGATCACCAACGTGAACGGTGCGGTTAAAGAAGTTCACCGGGTGATCCTTGCTTCGCAGCCATGACATGCCCAAGATCATGTCGAATTTGGTGTCCAGAATGTCAAAGGACACCGCCTCACTTGCGTGAGGGGCAAAGCACACTGGGACGACGTCAATGCACCGGTCGATGGACTTGTGCGTATGACTGTCTGCCAAAAAGACTTGCGTAGGCTGGGACTTCCTCCGGACACGTGGGCCAAGGCCGGCGCGTACCATGAAGTCCTGGCTGATGTAGTTGCAAGATGCTCCGCAATCGATCAAGGCGTTGCAGGTCGCCTCTCCGATCTGAATGCGTACATATAGCAATGGTGCGTTGATGTCGTCGTACCGTTGCGTCTTGAACTCGCGGTCGATCTTCGCAATGCAACCGTGAAGGTCAACAACCTCTACTCCGGCGCCCATCAACGGAGCTGGTACTACAGTGTGCAAGTAATCCCGCAATTGTGCCATAAGCACGTTGCAATGCGGTTTCGGCAATCGTCCGGTCGAGGGAACGGGCATCCACTGGAAGTCCGTGAATGTCAACGGGTCGAGCTCTTCAAGTCTTGACCATGACGTCGAATCCTCGGCGATAGATTGCGGCGAAGCTGCCGAATCGGTTGCCGATGGTGATGAAACCGTGCATGCGATGGATTGTTGCACGTGGAGCGGTTGGTCCAGC